TAATTTATTTGAATTGAACGCAATTTTTATATAAATTTAAGAAATAAAAGAATAAATTTAAATGATTTTAAAAATTTATAAAAATAAGAGTACAGTAGAAATATCTGAGATTAATTGCTCTCAACATTTAAATTGTAATTTATTGTGCAAATCTAATATTCATAAATCTACATTCATTTTTTCTAACAGTATACATTTAAATGTAAAATTTTACTACAGTATTCCCGGAAAATATCTATTGTACAAAATTATTGCTGATTTAAAAAAGGGGTTGAATCCTTCCAGCATTAAGATTAATACAATAATAGTACTGTATATTAAAAACAATAATCAGATAAACTATCAAAGTTAGGGACCAATAGTTTTGTATGTTTTTTAAGTAAATGATACCAAAGAGGAGTTTGATTATTAGTATCTCCAATAAATGGGTGCCAATAACTTGGATCTAATTCTGATCGAGTATTTTCTTCAAGTTCTTCAACAATACCGATGGTATCGCAGTCGACATAACGGTTGGGAACAATACAATCGTCGTTATAACTGTCGCCGATATGAACCCATTTTGGGTCAGACTTTGAGCAGATTCTGGTCGCAAATCGTTTCAAATCAGTCCAATTGCCCTCAGAGTAGAATTGTCCGCATTTCATGTCATCTATTGATATCTCACCGCCGATGTTGTCATTACAATCAATGGCCAAAAATTTGCGGTCAGTTATAAAAAATGTTGGTTTGCGAGCAAATGTGATCATTAGATCGAAACAACTCTCCCATTGTTTTCCGAATGAATAATTCATTACAAACTTAACGCAATCAACATTTGATGAAGTGATGAGAAAAACTAATTTCCCGTTTTTTCTCAACCCTTTTAACAAATTAATAACTTTTTGTGAAGTTTTTAAATAATGTTTGTCAGGATTTTGGTGCAGGTCTTTGCCGACGTCAGCCTCTAATCCATTGTTTCCATACATGAAAATCAATGTCTCGTAAATATGTGGCCAAATCTTTTCATAATTTGGTTCTGTCTTTGATTTGTCGCTCTGTTTGTCAATCACTTCAACAATTGAGGCAAATATCTGTGCGGAAGCCGTCGAGAAAAAGTCTCGGAGACCGTAAAACTCAAAGCCAGGAGTCGTATGGATTATCCCTTTGTTCATTAGATCCGGTATTTGTTTGAGTTGTTCTCTACACTCTTTGCCATAAATTAAATCAATAGTGTTTTTGGAGACATCTTTGAATCCGTGTTTCGCACTAATTATGCCATAATTTGAGTCCAGTTTTAATAGATTTCCCCGTTTTTTGTCTACAATTAAACCCTTTTGGCAATATTCTGGGCAAAATTCTTGGCAAATATCTTTAGGATAATTATGTCTTTTTACCAAAAGCTTTTGGATCAACGAATGACAAAATGGCATATTATACTTCAGATTATACCTAATCAACGTGTTGTCCATATCGATGGCAATGATATCATAGGCATTCAAATTGAATTTACCCGACGGAACCAATTTTGAACACATTTTGCACAAAATATTCTGATAGATTTCACACTTGAATTTTAAACCAAAAATTTTTAATTTAAAATTTTATTTTTAAAAAAAGAATTTCTGGTAATAAAACACTAAATAAAATTTATATAATAAACTATCAAAAGAACCCATTATATCAAAAACCTTGAGCTATCCATTCACTGTTTGGAGGACTAACCAGACATCAAACATATAGCGGGTGTTGGCGTTAGAAATGTTAAATCTATGTTTAATTCAATTGTCAATTCTTCTATCAAACAAATTGTTTAAATTGTTAAAAGATCTGATTAAATCGCTTAAACATTTAAATGTCAATCAATGTGAGTTTGTGAGCCCAGCCCTCCCCTCCCCTTCCCTTCGATGTATGGATTTTTAATACAGATATAAACGGCACGAGTTGTGCCTCCAATGGTTAATATTGATTATTACAGTTATGCTTTGGTTATCAAATTGAGTTGTGGTTAATCGATATAATATAAAGTTGTCGTTAGGGAGTATAGCAACACAATATTTTGTAATTAATTTTAATTTAAACTTATAATAATTGTTAAAAGTACCATTATGCGTTAAGAATAAGAATTAGACTCAATATACTGCCCGAAAATAAGATTTTTTACTTTGTTTTTTGAAATATAAATTAAATTTCAAAGTCATATCAATTACACGTTTTCATACAATAATATATGATTATAATCGCTATAAATAATGAATAATTTGCATAAATAATTGTCAAAATAATTTTATAATTTATTTTTAAAATTTCAATTAATTTTGAGTAATAGTTATAATGGTTTTAAAGATTATTACTTCACACAATACTCTCACTTAAAAATATAATTAGTTTGTAATTTGATTTTAAACAAAATTTAATGAACATTTAATTCTGTTATTAATTTGTTTTTCCAAATAGTGAATTAAATTACAATTAATTGTTTCATCTTTTAATCAAATGATAAAAAGTCTATCAAAAACAATAATCAGATAAACTATCAAAGTTAGGAACCAATAGTTTTGTATGTTTTTTGAGTAAATCATACCAAAGAGGGGTTTGATTATTAGTATCCCCAATAAATGGGTGCCAATAACTTGGATCTAATTCTGGGCGAGTGTTTTCATCGAGTTCTTCAACAATACCGATGGTATCGCAATCGACATAACGGTTGGGAACAATACAATCGTCGTTATAACTATCGCCGATATGAATACATTTTGGGTTAGATTTTAGGCACAATTTGACAGCAAATTGCTTCAAATCAGTCCAATTGCCCTCAGAGTAGAATTGTCCGCATTTCATGTCATCGATTGATATCTCACCGCAGATTTTATCGTTGGAATCAATGGCCAAAAACTTGCGGTCAGTCATAAAAAATGTTGGTTTACGAGCAAAAGTTACCATAAGATCGAAACAACTCTCCCATTGTTTTCCAAATGAATAATTCATTACAAACTTAACGGTTTCGACATTAGATGAAGTGACGAGAAAAACTAATTTCCCACTCTTTCGCAACTCATTTAACAAATTTATAACTTTTTGTGAAGTTTTCAAATAATGTTTCTCAGGATTTTGGTGCAAATCTCTACTGATTGGTGCACTCATGCCTTTTCCCGCAAATAAGAAACACGAAATTTCATAAATATGTTTCCAGATTTGTTCATAATTAGGTTCAGTCTTTGTTTCCATGTTTTGTTTGTCCATCACTTCAACAGTTTTGGCAAATACTTGTGCCGAAGGGGTAGAGAAGAAGTCTCGGAGGACATGAAATTCAAAGCCAGGAGTGGTCTTAAGGCGATTGAAATTCAATAAATCCGGTATACGTTTGAGTTGTTCTCTGCAAAGCTTACCATAAACTTTATCAATGGTTTCTTTTGAGACATCATTGAATCCGTGTTTCGCAGTAATTATATCATAATTTGAATCTAATTTCAATACATTTCCTCGTATTTTGTCCACAACTAACCCTTTTTGGCAATATTTCGGACAAAACTCTTGATAAATATCTTTGGGGTAATTATATCTCTCGACCATAAGTTTTTGGATTAAAGAATGTTGAGACGACATGATATGCTTCAGATTATAGCTAATCAACGTGTTGTCCATATCGACGGCAATCATGTCGTAAGCATTCAAATTGAATTTAACCGATGCAACCATTTTTGAGCACATTTTACACAAATATTAATAATAAATTGCAATTATTTAAACAGAGAAAACTATTATCGCTTAAAAATTCTGTCGACTTTACAAACGTATCCTAATCTTCACTCTTCGAGACTTATCTCCGGACTGACTGTCGTTTCAATCGTTAAAATAGTTTTATTTGTTTTTTGTGTCCTATTTTAAGCGCCGATACATTTTCTATGCCTTTAAAGTAAATTAAAAAACAAGGCTTGTACGCAAAGCAACGAGTTAATCACAATTCGTGTTATAACTTATAACAAAATAATAGAAATAACTCAAATATGTTTTAAAATAGTTGTAATATAATTTTAATTATTTATTCAAAAGAGAGGGTAAATGTGGACGGTTCGATTCTATAAGCCACAAGTTTTATACTAAATTCTGGTTTATAACTCAAAATAATTAATCAAAGAGTTTCGCGTAATAAAAGTATGAGAAAGTATTTTTAATTAACGCTTAAAATAAACAAAATTGTAATCAAAATAATAATAATTCATTTATGATTAATAATGTTTCGTTAGTATATGAATTCAAAGTCGCGCCAACAGACAGAGGTTTTAAATTAAATTTAAAATAATGTTTTTCTCTCATATTAATATAGTTATGAGTTTCGGTTTATTCGAGGTTTTATCAAAAGTACCGAATATACACTTAACTGTGCTTTCAATGGTGAGCATTGATTAAATATTCTTTGATAATTGTTTTAGTTTAATCAGGAATTTTCATTAAAATTGTGAATTTTATTAGTGATTATCAATTGATTACACATATTTGTATAAACACAACATTATTTCACAATAAATATGCTACTTTTTAATTCTATACATTTATTTATTGTCTAATTAGTGACTCTTGAAAAGTCTAAATTCCATTTTGAAATCATAATAAGCCAATAAAATATAATTAACTTACTAGTCACTAAAGTATTGTATAATGGCTAAAAGGTCAAGACAATTGTGCTTTCAATTTGTAAAATAGATCCATCACTTGCATCATAATTGGAAAACATTGTGTTGACTGCGATCGCAATGGTTTGGGTCAACACTACTATTTCAAAAACTGAAAGCCGAGCACAATTGCCTCAGAATTCTCAACTTAATAATCACAATTATAATCACAAGTATTAATTTTATTTTGTTAGCTGTTATAAAGTCAATATTACAAAAAATAAATACATTATTAATGCCGTACATTTTACAAATTCCATGCATTTATTTTATTTACAAAAAGGTTAATCAAGTTTTTATCGTATGGTTTGCGTCAATAATGAAAAAATTTTAAAAAATTTGTTGTGTTTATGAGTCGGTAATTATTTTGAGTTCATATTTACGAATACATTTATCTCTACAGGCGGTGAACACATGCGACCCATCGCTGGCCAGACTATAGATTGCGTCGAAATCAGGTCCACTCAACTGAAACGTCTCGTTATCGGAGTCTAAATAGTGATAGACAGTCGACCCGTCGGCCCGACCGGCGAAGAATCCATTCCTCTCTTTATAACTCAATGACAACAACGAAAGAACGGGCGAAGAGCTGGTCCGCCAACACTTAACAATATTTTCGCTATTTCTCACATCAATTAATACTATTTCACCGCTTTGTAGACCAAACACAACACTGTATTCGTCCACAAATCGGATTGAATTCACGGCTGAATTGTTTTTTAATTCAAATACCTTTTGATCATAATATTTGTGTTAATAAAATGCAGAAAATTAATTATAAAAATAACTTTTAAAACCTTTTGATTGCTTTCCAATCCAACTCCGATAACATTTCCCTTTTCGGTGCCAACAGTTAACAGTTTACCATCGGTTCCGACGGCCTTCTCGTGAAGAGGTTTGTGCCGAACGCCGAGGTCTACATCGGCTGCCATGGATTGAATGGCACACGTATTGATGGCTTCGGTGGCACTCAATTGAATGGGTGTTTCCAAACAACTACTTGTACTGCAATCCCATAACTTGGATGAGCCGTCACGTGAAACGGTCACAAAATTGCGTCCGCGGTCTACAAACGCCGCGTCAAGGATTGCGCTCTTGTGGCCAATCAGAGTGGCCGCACACTCGCTAGTAATCACTGACCAAATCTTGAGCTGCATATCGGATCCGCCGCTCAGTATTACTTCACCCGAAGGAAAGAATCGACAGAAATATGGCTCAAAGACGTGTCCCCTTAGATCTCTCTGTTAATTAAAGATTAGCGTAAAATATCAATCAAGACATAAATGGCGCAAATCATACACGTATTGATCCGTCAGCTGAGGACCAAACTAATAGTTTACTGTCGGCGCCGACAGACACTCCCAATCCTCCGGTCGTCACATCAATACTCGAGACCTAATGACAGGAGTTTTAGAAGACATGGACTGAAGAGACAAATCAATTACGGATTTGCTGTGAATCGATGAGAAGACATGATTGGGTGCTATAAAGCCATACAATTGTTTCGTTGATTTGTTGATCAGTTTTAAGTAATACTGAAAACAATTAACAAAATATGACATTATTTTCACTGCAATTAATGAACGGCTGTTGACATACATTTGATGGACACGTGATGTGGAAGTCTTGACTGTCACTGGCTTTGGATTCATTGAATTGAATGGTCTGATGGACACTGTTTTCATTGATGGTCTTCGATGTCAACCAGACATTAGCGACCGGTCTGTCAAGTGATCCACAAATCATTTAAAGGTATAAAAATTTTGTTAACATTGTGTGACATGAAGTATACCTTCTGATGACTTGATCCCAATCGCTTTGAATAGTGATCATTGGATACGATATTGAATTTGATCTCATTTTGCACTCAATTAACAAAACAATTATTGTCTCTTAACTCAAATCACATCAAGTTTTGTGTGAAATAAACTTCAATACAAAGCATAACAAAAACAAGTGTTTTCGTCATGTAATGCATAAATTGGCGCTAAATTGAAACCATTAGTGAAATAATACATTAAATATGAAATACAATTTCAATTCATTTATTAATACATAACATAACTAATGATTGATTTAATCGTTTTAATACAAGTAAATCATAAGTTGTTTTCGTAAATCAATTAAACAATGAATGGATAAAAAGTGAATATAATTTAAACTAATTGCAAAATTGTTGAGAAGTGATGTAATCGGCAGTGATTTGATTGGTCTCAACGATATTGTAATGCAATCGTATTGATTGCATTCAATTTAATTCAGTTTTTAATTGTTTTGAAATTTAAATGCATTTAAACAGAGATTTAGTATCAATTGAAAAATACAAAGAAAATTACTAATCGTTAATATAATAATAGAAGACTTGACAAATGATGTATCAAAAAGTGTGGTCTATTTGGCGGCGATTCCATTGGTCTGCTCCGCGAGTGCGACACCGGTTGAGCCGAAGCCCGCGTCCCCTCTTGTGGTCTCTTCGAGTTGCGGACATTCAATGAGTTCTGTGTCAGCAATGCGTTCACAGATGAGTTGTGCGATGCGATCGCCGCGAGTGACCACAAAGTCTTCATCGCTTAAGTTAAACAAAACGACGCAAACGTTTCCCCTGTAGTCCTCGTCCACAACACCCGCCCCGACGTCTATCGAGTGCTTCACTGCCAGACCAGAGCGCGGGGCGACCCGACCGTAACAACCCA